CGCCACCACCACCATCCAGAACTTGAGCCAATTTATCCAACATCAATATCTGCCGTTGGATTTACTTCAGGAATAGGCACATTTCCTGGGTTTCACTTTCCTGCACGAATTCAAGGTGATGAAGAGGAGCATGATGGATATTCTGACAAACCATCATCTGCTTCTTCTGATTCTCCCCATTGATTTTACCTCAAAAAACTGAAAATTCATTAACAGGTAATAATATTCTTAAGGCCCATTTTCAATTTTGTAGAGTTAAATTTCATCTTGTTTTCAAATTGTAATAATATATATTGCAATAATGTTTAACTTAATTTGCAGGGCTTTATCCATTTCTCAGAACTGAAGAGAGATTTCAGTGATTTAGTTTCAGGTTTTCGATCTCGGGTTTGTTAATCTGTGTTTCTTGTTTTGTGTCTTCATGTGTGAATGAGCTATTAGGGCTCGACGTAATTTGTTTCAAGTTACATTCAGGTTTTATTATGGAATTCTACATTTATTCTTGTCGCTAATATTTGTTTATTTGCATATAGTCTTCAACACGTCCAAACTCCACAAGCAAAACGAATAGGAAAGAATAACTAATCAAATAAAACAATTGACAATTATTACGTTTACATTGTCCAATTTAACGTGTCAAATATGTCATAATGTTTCGACTGTTGCAACTTGAGTTAATATAATCAATGGTCACTGAACTTCACTATGGGTTACTATTTGCTCATCGAATTATAAAATATTACTCTTTGCTAACTGAACTTTATTATAGGTAAATATTTGCTCACCGAAATTTAAAATGTTACTTATTACTCATTCAAATTTGTACAAAGTTACCCATCAATCATCCATATCATTTCTATGAGTGTTAATTGTTGCAAAGTTTAGTGAGTAAAGAGTAACTTTATTCAAATTTAGGTAAGCAATGAGTAATCTTTTAAATTTCGATTGGTAAATAATAACTTATAGCAAAGTTGAGTGAGCAACGTGTAACTTTTTAAAGATTGGTGAGCAAGTAATAATTTATAATAAAGTTCAGTGACCATTCATTAAATTATCTCGTTGCAACTTGAATATTGGTTCTAACTACCATTCTTTGTGTCACTAACTTCCCTTTATTATTAATAACCTGCCCTTTTTGGTAAAGGCTGAGAACATCGAATGGGGATCCATTTCCTAACTAAAATAAAAATCTTAAAAACCTTAAGTACTAAGATAACAGATTGTCAGCAGTTTGTTCACCTTGAGATTGACTAGGTCGTATTCAGTTCGAGACTGACTACATTAGCTTGAACAGTTGAACGCATTTCAGGCCCAAGTTTTAGGCTCAGCGGCTGACTGATTGGGTTAGCAAAGAGAAAGGAGCAGAAGAAAATAATTAATCAGAATTTATTAGGGTAATGAACGAAGTAAGGGGGTGGATCCTATCTATAGATTTTAATAGAATAATGCTATTTGCAATCGCTTATTATCGCAGTCGCCTTACATAATATACATGTGATTATTAGTAATTTCTTGCACAAGATAATAAAAAATTATCACGTTAATGTGTCAAATCACTAACCACCACATGTATGTCACATAGAGCGACTATAATAGTGAGTGACTACAAATAATATTACTCATTTTAATAATGTATTTTCTAAATTGTCATGCTGCAAATCAATTTGGACTTTGTATCGATAATTTCAAATTGGGACGCAATATCGTAGTTCAAAGCACACCCTTCTGCGATGGTCTACGACTTCAGCGTACACCCATTGCACGTTAAAATCTAGTAATCTCAACCAATTTGTAATTGTGCCCAACCACCCATGTTTGCCTAAACACAATCGTTACATTACCTGGTAGAACGTTGGCCAT